CCGCCTAAGTGCACGAACATATATATATATATATATATATATATATATATATATATATATATATATATGTTCCTGGCAAGGGGTTAACTTGTAGTGCTTTGTGTAACAAGTATGTCTTGAACTTAGAACAAGTAAGTTCGAACTTGTCATATGTTCCTGGCAAGGGGTTAAAGCTTGGCACACACCACACACACACACACACACGTATATATATATATATATATATATATATATATATATATATATATATATACGTGTGTGTGTGTGTGTGTGTGTGTGTGTGTGTGTGTGTGTGTGTGTGCCAAGCTTTAACCCCTTGCCAGGAACATACGACAAGCGACGCTCACGTGTTCAGATACATGCTCACATACAGCCGGGTTCAGTCATGGCGTTGGTCTTCAAATATGGTCACGGAGCGCGGCGTGAGCGAGCGTGGGTGGAGTGGTGCCGGGGATCGGCAGTTCCAGGCGGAGGCGCCTCAGCAGGAGAGCTGGTGCTCGATGTCACCCAGCCAGGTACTTGGAAGGTGCCTGGCTTGCTGGACGGACCAACAACGTACCTGCTCAAGAGCCCGCCCAGGTGACTCAGTTGGTTAGGACGCTTGTCTTCCGATCTACCCACACGTGGCGGGCTGGGTCCGGGTCGCTTCAGGCGTCGCTACTTGCCCTTCAAAGGTATCGCCCTCGACCGGAGACAGCAGACGCGCTAAATGTCAGTTAATGTCAGAAGACAGGACAGGACATGCCGAGCATTGCGGCACGTCAAAGTTTCGCCACTCAGTTCTGCCGTTGCCTGGAATTGGAATTGGAATTGGAATAGCATTGTATTTGCTGAAACACAGCCACCGATGTGATCGATAAAAATAACTGACTAAAAATTGTTGCAAGACACAAAGTACATTTCAACATCAAAATTGGTCATAGATAGTTACCAAATTCCCCTGAGGCGTGTATTTGGAAACGCGAAAGCACTAGACATACTCCCTTTAAAAGAAAAGAGCACGGCGTTAAGAAACCTCTGCGCGCGTAGCAAACATCCCACACCAAGCGAACGGTGGCCCGCTTAAATGCAGCGCTCGGTGCACGCTCAAAAAGCCTCAGCCTCATCAGCGACGCTCTCTCTCGAGTATTGTTAAGAACGAGTATTGTTAAGAAGTGCACCAAAAGCCCTCATCAAAGTTGATGTGTGAACACTAAGCTAGAGTCTATGGACACGGAAGTCTCTTGTTGTGCTTTTAGGGCGGAAAGACCGTTGGTAAGCGGGGATCAGTGCGAACACCGTAGTGCGGAACATACTATGAGAACGCGTGGCACTCTAGCTGCTGGCTACTACATGCTAGCTGCTGGCTACTGCATACTGGCTACTGCATAAGGTGACTTGCAGATGTGCGAGGGTTCCTACCGAGCGGTTAAGTGGTCAACTGTCATAACGCTTCCACTCCCACAATGACCACTGGCTGTCGTCACACACAGCACGACGAAGGTCACGCTCACAGCATATCTTACACACCAGGACACCAGGATTGGGCTGGAGGCAAGTGCATACTACAGCTGGAACAGCGCACGTTAGTTCAATGGAAGAACATCTGCAGATCAGGATATACGGAGTAGGAGGTCTTTTAGTGGTTCCAAACTGCGTTATGTCGATGGGGCGAAGGTTCTCGGTACTCGTGTACACACTCGCACGGCCACAGCCGAACTTGTCAGCTTACGCCACCGACGGACGGACAGCCAGATCTGTGATCTGTCCGTCAACACCACTGTCTGCCTCACCACCACCAACATTGAGGGGATATAACGAGCATCCTCCGAGCTGACAGCAACAATGACAGAAAACCAGAGACACTCGCGGTGACACCAGCGTACACTTCAGTCAGAGCATCTTATCAAAAGTGGAGCGAAATGACACGACGTCCTGGATTATAACTGAGTGTCATGAGCTTGCAAACATTTTCGATTTTGTTTTGGAGAAATAAGCAGCCTGTTTGGTGATTGCAAGCCTGCACAAACTTGTATAGTTTTAACTCGTAGTTAGTGACGTTTACAGGTCAACGGCAGTTGGTGATTGGAGGTTACTTACCACGGCCTGTTCGTGTATTAGCGAGTATTAGCAGACATTTTACAGCTTACAGCAGCAGCACAGACATTTTACGGACATGTTGTGCTCATACGATTTATTCCTCTTCGTAGGTTTTGGAACATGTCTGCGAGATAGCACGGACGGCGCACTTTTCGCAAACACGATGACAACTTATCTATAAACATATATGCGAGTGGTCTAATAAATTACACAACCTGACCTATTAAGCACGCTATGCAACTTTGATAGGTGCAAAGGAACCATTTGACATCAGAGAAATGTGGGAATATCCTCGAACTTTGCGTGAGAGCCTCGACGGCTCATAACTTAAGATCTTCCTCCAGGTATGTTAGTTCAGGTCATAGCCACAACATGCATGCGTTTATTATTGACTTTTACCTGTGGAGCTCGTCTCTTTTAAAATATATTTGATTAAGGCGATCAGCCAACGCATTTTTCTCTGTGTTCAGGTGAGATCCCATTTTTCACTCCACATCAAGAATACGATTCGGGAAGATTCAAAGCCATCATTGACAGACAAGGCCAAAGATGCCGTGAGAAAGCTGATTGAATTTCGGTGTGGCTTGGTTTTGACTAGTGCTTCTGTCTGTGAGAGTTGACCCAGACGGCGACCCGAAGGCTGGCGGGGAAGGGGAGGGGGTCGTGAGTCAGGCGTCGTCGCGAATGAACAGGAATACGCCGTTCTGTGTAAGCTGTTGCGTCCTCTGTAAACGAGAGCTGCCATCAGGAGACCTGCAGACAGAGCAGAACACTCTTAAAAGTGGTTCATAAGATGATGGATGATGGAGCGGTATTTGTAGAAATTGTGTATGCATTAAGCCCTCCCACCTGTCTCACTGACATCGGGTTGAAGTTGCTGTATCCCCAGAAAATAGACAGTGATTTCTGCGCGGCGGACTGTTTTGCCGCACCCCTATCGTAACAAGGTCAAGGCGTACGTTGAATGATTGACAAAGATCAAGAGGGAGACGGCATTTGTTAAGGAGAGTTCTATTCTCCAAACGTTGGGGCAGAACGCAACGACTGGACGCAGACTACGACACTGTGTTCTAAGAAGTCTTGGGCACGTATTTTTACTCGTACGCAGCAAGAACGGAACAATTTCAACACTATGGTGATAGCAATGATTTGGGCCTGATTCAGACATGTATGGCTATTGACTAATCACGCATCTATAGCCATTTGACATATGACCATTGAGTGCCCTAACACCCTGTGAACGTCCATGTAATGACGGTATTTGAATGACAGTCCGTATATTTCATATAAAGAACAACATCGCTTTGTCCTATGCAGTTTAACCACAAAAGACAGGTGTATGTACTGTCGTCAAACATAACGAGGATCATGTCCATAACGACGGGCGCATAACACAAATGATAGCCAGCAAAAATTCCCAGCAAACATATTGGTCAAAAATGTCTAATAAACGACAAGTATCCACAATTAACATAAACAGCATCATGGGCATATACTGAGTAGCAATGACAAAGAATGCACCACTCTGTTTGACTCGGAATGACCGCCAGTTGGCGCCCTTTTCTCTGCCCTCGCATGCTCTGTCCACTCAAATAGAGGCCAGCAGGGCCAGGCTGTCCAGGATCCAGCGGACGTGCGGCCGCACGGGTGCGGATGACACCGACGCTCCCGGCCGGTGACACTTCTTCTGTGCTGGTCGCATGCTGGTCACACCCATCAGGAAGTAGGCCGTGCCGAACATGTCGCGGGCCACGAGGGGCGCGCCCAGGTCGGCCACGCACGGCGTGCCAGAGCCTAGGCAGCGGTTTGGCTCGCCGTTCGACTCCGACAGCAGCCGGTACTGGCATGGCCCCGGGCCGTCGTAGCTGGTGTTGTACACGGCTAGCTTCTCTTCGTCCATCACGTGCGTGGTATTACTGCGCTGGCGGCCGCACTCGCAGCAGGTGGCAGCACCGTCGGCCGCCGGCTGCCGCCCGCTGTGCAGGCCCATTGTTAGCGCAAGCAGACGATGCGGCTGGTGGCGCAATGGGAACATGGGCAGACAGATGGACTGCACGCCGTGGCCCAGCGTCACCGGCTGCGACAGCTGTACCAGCGCCACGTCGAAGCGACTCGCATTCCGGCCCTGCTTGACAAAGTCGGGCTGCACGGTGGCCGAGTGGACAGCCACGTCCGTGGCCTCGGTACACACCGTCTTGTCGTACCAGACACAGTCTGGCCGGTTTCTGAAGTCGTACTCGCCCAGTCTAGCCGTGCTGAGCTTGTAGCCTCGAGCACTGAGCGCGCAGCGGGCCGACGTGACTACGTGCTGGTCGCTGATGAGCGCGCCTGAGCACGAGAAGATGACGCGGCCGTCGGGTCCTGTGAAGCCGAGCGCCACCAGCCACGGGTGGTCGCCCACGATGGGGAAGCCGCATCCAAGCGGGCCACGGCTGGTCTCTGTCTCGGAGCCGCTGCCGCAGAAGCGCAGGTTGAGTCGGCCCAGCGCTGGGTTGTCGGCCAGACCCGGCAGCAGCGTCGTCTGCCGCTTCCCCAGACTGATGCGCCGCCGGGCCAGGTCAGCCCCCAGCGTCGAGCTCACCGCCATCAGCAGCACTGTGTACGCCTGTACTCCACACATTGCCGCGGTCCGTTGCAAACTGTGCCCCTCACTCGAGCGCCGCCGCTTATCAACGGATGGTTACGTGATTTGAACGTTACGGTCAACGGAACTTCCAGATTCAGATTCAGATTATATGCAGGAGTTGTAAGAGATTTTCCCGTACAGATTGGGTCGTTTCAAGGAACAGAGAGAGCAAGGTGGTTGTATAAGTCCAACGATAGTAGCAATTTTCGACAATTACTGCATGCGCGCGAAACAGCTCTCACCAGTACGTAGAGTACTTTCCGCGAAACGTTATGATTCACTGCGTACTTTCTTCTGAATCAGCCAGCATAATACTATGCATCTCTGAAATGCAACCACAAATCACTTTGCTATGGCATCTAACGTAGCAAGCTATTGTTTTGCTAACGTCATGTCACTGAGTTCACTCTCAGTTTCTGTCACACTCGCGATGGCCTACCAAAATTGTACGTGTCTTAGGTCACATATCGATGTTGAAGGGTGTCTCTCACTGCTATCACTTGTCCTCCCTGTCATTATCCTCTATTATAGCTATATATCTAAAAATTGCGAAATCGACGTCACTTTGGGCCCCTCGAGAGGTGACGAGGTCAGGACTGGAGCCCCCACTCCTGTCCGTGTTCAGCGCAACGATATAGCTCTAACTACACTGCGTTGACGAATGTTGCGGGCTTGCTGTCTTGAGTAAATCCTATAACTGCATATGCGTTATGGACCATGACTCGTTTGTTCCGTATTGATGGCGTTTGCAAGGTGTAGGGGCACCATGCCATAAGTATCCCAGTCCGTCATTTAGAGATGCATGAATACTGCATTGCTTAAAGTTTATCAAGTAATTAGGCATTAACCTGTTCCGTTTGTTCCCAAAACTACAGCAATGCGCTGCTGTTTTGCTAAATACTTGCCCAAACCAACAGGCCCTCTAATTGCAAGTAATGAAGATATGTTTAACGTTTCTCTCACAAGCCGCATCTACTGTTTCAGCTTCATACTGGGCGTATGGAATGCGTTTCGTTTGCAAGCATTGGTAATCTTAGACTTAACGTAGAACTATCCCCACTGACATGAAATGAAAGATCATCTTTTCTGCAGAGCCAGCAGTCATCATCTCACCAAAAAAGCTAAAAGCATTGCTGGGCATTGTCATAGCTCATTAATCTTCATGTCAAGAAATCTAAATATCACCCTTTGAAGGTGCTGGCCCCCTGTATCAATTCTTCAACAAGCCCCGGTTAGCTGGGTGAACTCATCGGAGACGATAAAAACCCAAATAAGGAAATGACCAGTTGAGTCCAGCGTCTTTGACCCCTCTGTGTGCGTCCTATGAACTAGTAACAAATTGCGAACATACCTCCCGTGGTGGCATAGTGAGCAGTCATTGCTCACTTAACCAATGGCTGTGCTCAGCCTGCTGTAATGTTACGTGCAAATGGCTGTCTCCGGTCCTGCCTAGTTTGTTTCGCCTTTTACGAATACCTAAATGAATGTTCCACATTTGAAGATATTGAGATAAGCCCAACACATGATGGGAAAAGCTATTTGTAACTATTGGTGTGCTTTCAAGGTTCAAAAACGACCCTAAGTAGCAAGATTTTAAGGGTTGTAAAAATGCGCACCATTGCGTCATCGTTTCATGGCGCCATGGAATGGTTTTGTGACGACAGTAATATCTGGCAGCATCTGCCAGCCAGACCTAAAGAATACCTCGAACTGCTCGAAAGCTGACGCCGGCAGGCCATTCTTGTCGCGGACGCTGTGCTGGGTGGCGCATTAGTGGGTGGTTGGTTGTGGATTTAGTTGTCTTGATGCTGGTCGTTAGAAAAGCTTTGGTGGACTGTTTGACATAAACAACGTAGCGATCGCCAGCTTTTGTGGCAGAGTATTAATATCAAAGCACGATATGCTGTGAAAACTATCCTACAGTGTCATGAATTGCTTACCGAAACCCGTCAAAGACTGTTAAGGATAGCAAAACTGTATTGTCACTCTATCCCTGCCTGCAGTGCTGGAGTCCTGACATTGACATCATGTGATTCACACAGCAGTTACTTTCTTTAATATATGTAACCGGAAATGCAGTTGCATGCCAAAGTTCATAAATCTGTAAATGTTATGAATTGGTCGCCAAAGCATTGTTATTGCTATGGTAAAGTTGGTAAGCTTGAGCTAGCGAAAATGTTTTTCTTGCTCAGGATTATTTACGCAATTACTAGTTAATCCTGATATAGCCATTGTCGCGTGACAGCACTCCTGCTGGTGATAGTCCTTTGGCGTTGGTAAATCAGTTGTTACCTGCCATTCATAAATTATAAGTTGCTATCTCACAGGCTTGACAAAGATTAGTCAATCAATGTGGTACATTGTATAATGGCATGCGTCAACAACGCCATGGTGTCATTACCTTGTCGCTGTGCTGTGGCATGGCATGAACAATGATATAGTTTTTACATCCTAATCCCTGCTGCTTTCATAATAAATCCCGTCATGAAAAGACTGGTCAAGCGTGCATTCTTGTATTATCTCCGCACCTGATGTATGACTAACCAAAAACACATGATATGATATGCAAATCACTTTCAGCAAAGCATACAACCAATGAGTGACATAACTTGGTCAGCCTGTTTTGGGAATCCACAAAACGTAGGTGACAAAGATGCAAACGTGTTTCCGCTCCCACAGCGATGCAACATGCTGCAGCCATCAGACTGCTTCACTAAAAAATAACAAGAAAACATTGCATGCGGTGGCATGACACCGCAAGCCTGCTAATCTTGCACAAGGCCGGTGACATGACAAGTGCATGCAGCCGTGGTTAGATGAGAAGAATGCAGGGAAGTGATAAAGCTGCCAGTACACGCAATGCTCATAATAAAAATATCATTTAGCCTTGTCCAAGAAACCAACGGGAATGCTTTTCCACCTTTCCCAGCGCCCAGCATCTCACACATGTTGCAGTGACTATGACATTGGTGATTCACAAACAGTGTTTGCCTGGATACAAAATTGAGAATTCTTGAGGGAAAGGCGATTTTGCAAAGCTGTATCATGTGAGCTGACACCAAACATGTGCATTAATGAGCTATGCAGACCAGCACCCACTGCCAAAATGAGCTAACAATATAATGGCATGCATTAGATTTATTACATGCTGCAACGCTTCAATAGGTTTAAAATGTTGGCAAGAGTATAATGAACTAGCAAATTGCCTTTGTACACACCTGCAGCATAGGTGCTAGTATTTCTTTCAATGTACTAGCATCACTGCTTCGTCACGTTCAAACACAAACATAAAGATAGGGTAAGGAATCGGTATATCACATTTTATTGGGAGTCAGCAGACTTAAAGAATACCAAAGCAATGTTCTCTCTCAGTAGTACGAACCCCACACGCACACTCCACATCACATCAAGATCAATACAAGCCATTGGCACGCACTACCAGTGATCACAAGCATTTCAAGCCCTTGTTTCACACCCTTGTAAAATAAGTGTGATTCCACACTTGCACAGCTCGCATGACAATCAAAATGCACGTTCTCTCCCAATTTCTGCGTTATAAGGATATATACTTTGCTAATCATTCAACATGCGTTAAATGATTAGCAAAGTATATATCTAAGCTTACTGTAATGATTCCCTCATTTTGCGATGCCTAGCTAACCCATTAACCCTTGCAAGATTCTTTCATCCGGTAAACAAAGCGCCAACCGAGCTGTCTCTAATGCAAGGAGAAAAAAAACGCCAGCAGGAGAAAAAAACGGAGTCGCCGTCTCGTCTTCTTTTTTCCAACATTCGTAAGAGTACCATTCGTTTTTCCGTGCCGTGCTTTTTTGCAGATAGTGGCGTTCTTTTTTTTAAACTTTAGCCCATGGGCTCGGTATAAAAAAACGCCCCGTTGACGAGGAGTGCCGCACAATCCGAAAGTGATCACGATTACGTTCGCGACACGCATTCAGCAGCGAAATCTTACTAACAGCCAATCACCTTCCGCGGATTGTACCATTGCATCACCGCTTTTGCGAAGGTATCAGCAGCCATGCTGTTTGTGACCATAAGCAGAAAACGTTTCTAAGCAGAAAACAGCAGAAAACTATGACATTTCTAAGCAGAAAACTATGACATCACCAATGCGAAGGTGGCTTTGAAATAGTCCCTCAATGAACCTTTTCGCACGTTTGCGGGCGTATAACTCAGGAACCAGAGGGATTTGGATCTTAAAGAGGGCATGGCCGTGAACTGCATCAAAATGTCCTCAAGATGGCTATTTCAGTTCAAAACCCCATATACAAGTGGAGCATTCCCTTTAAAGTCTTGTCAAGGAGTACCACGAATTGTTCTTTATGTTCCTTGGTATTTACGTATGGTTGTGTACGTTGCTCAGGTGATGGGAGGGGCACTACTGGTAGCCTATTCGTGAGTGCGGTTAGAAAAAAAAATCCTTTGACCATATTTGAAGTGTGCCATCTTAGAGCGCTCATTACACTAATTTATAGCGCAGCAGTTGTTGAATGTTGCACAATGCGGGAAAACGAGGCCATTTTTGTAAGTGGCATCCCTCATGTGCACATTATTTGCAAATACATCATCAAGCAAGTACACGGCGTTCAAGGAAAAAGCAAACAAGATTGCGAACTATAATATCGTTATCGGTAACGCGGATGTGTTTTTTATTTCATATGATAGCGTATTTGGAAAAGAAAAGAACGACAGTGCTTGAAATGATAGTGTTTTAAGTATAATGCATTTGCACACAAACGAGCCAAGTTTTTCATACGATTTTCGTAGTAGGATGATATTGTCAATGCGTGAATTTATATGATCATTAAACTACCAGGCAATGTAGATTCGTCAGTGTGTTATGGCCAAAAATACAATCGTCCGGCAATTTTTGGGCGTTACTACCGAGTTGACCTGCATCATTTCCGGAGGTTTGCTGACGCCATGACGGTTTCTGGCACCCCAGACAATTGGGACATTGCGTCATCGTTCGACGG